GGCCGTAAGAAGTCTTAGCTTAGCTGTCTTTGGACAAGCCCCGCACGCTGGGTCCACACGCAGAAGGTCCTGGAGGATTTCAAACTCAACCTGGAGCAAAAGCATTTCGCGCGAGCCCTGGGCAATGTTTCGAGCTGGTGCAGTTCAGAGCAAGATGTTTAGGTTCCTGAATGGTTGGAGCCCTAACAGACCTCGCAGGGTACCAGAAGCGCTTTCAGTCTTCTTACTCTCACGCTCTTCAGCTCTTAGTGTGGCACAGTACAGTTCACATGCAGGGGGTCCAACTATAACTAGAAAGTCAAGTCCGTAAAGATTTGTTGATATGGAGCATCAGGCTTGCCACAGACATGGTGCAACACAATGCAAACTTGAGGCTCCGAAGTTGTGAATGCTTTGGGCCTCGAGCAGGTTTCGTCTTTTCATCAGAGAACGCTTTCAAGATGTGGGATTAGATGAACTGCACGACTTGGGGTAGCGGAGCTGAACTTGGGAGCTTGTGGTTGCCGAATGTAGAGTTGTCGGTGATTGTCTGGTGGTAAGGCTAGTTCAACAGCAACAGTTGTCTTAGTTCGCTGTAGCCGTTAGCTGTTAAGGGAACCGTTGAGGGTCAGGGCTTAGTGAGGGTCAAAGTGGAATCTGGAGTGCGTCATGCAATGGGCATTTTCTGTTTCCGCCTGATGGACCGGGTCTATAATTTGCCACCAGGCCCTCGAAAGCCCGAACCCAAGCAGCCACCCTTGGTTTTGACGCTCAGGTTCTGGGCATTCGTGCCTAAGTTGCAATTGGTGGGTTGGTCGGAGCAGGGCAAAGACAAAGTGTCAGGGAGAGCTTTTCCGACAGCTTGGCGCATGCGCAAGGCTTGCAGTATGTTGCAGCTGTCCTGTGCGATTGAAACTGCTTGTGTTCAAGACAGTTCGTTGACTATATAAATTGACGAAATCTAGTATTTCTCAAGACATGGTCCCGGATGGAAGAGGCAGGCTTCAAGCAGCGGCTCGTGAAAGTTGGCACGTGTCAGCGATGCAGTCGCTTAAAGTCCCAGGAGTCTTGGGCACAACTCGTACTTCGTTGGCACGAGAAGCGCTCTACCGAAGCTCGCGTCACCACTAAACCGCCAACTAGGGTTGAAGACCGTAGTCCTTCCCAGCACCAATCTTGAATTCTCAGCATGCCCTTTGTGTTGTCTAGCTTCCTTTGACAGCTGAAGCTCTTGGCTCGTTTCAGAATACCAGGTTGTCCCAACAAGTGTTTCCTGTTGCACGTGCCTCGAAAGCAAACTTTCAAACATGTTCGAATCCGATCGATCCCTGCCTATGTCATGTAATGGGTATGTTCGACGCATTCGCAAATCCATCAAGTAGCCAGACATCGTGCTGATGGCAGCGACACGGTGTCAATGATCTCCGAATTGTCCACTGTCTCGACGTTTCCCGAGATGGCTCCACAAGCAGAGCTTCTGCAAGCGCTCAAAGCGACGGCCATTGTGAGGTCATTGGTCGCTGGATTGTCTACCTCCGTAGGCGCTGCAATCGTCCTGCTGCTGCGAACCTCGCCCACTGACAGCCAGATGGCCTTCGCTTTGGCCCTAGCTGCTGGCGTAATGCTCACGGTGTCCTTTGTGGAGATGTTCCTCCCACCATTCATCCAAGCTGGCAGCCGCTTCCAGGCGTGTGCATCTGGCAGTTTAGGATTTCTCAGCTTTCTCCTGATCAGGAAAGTTTTGCCGGAGCCTGACCTGGGATTTGGGAAGAAAGACGGGGATCGGGGAGATCCAGAGACAGATCATGTCAGTGAGGCTGCGGTTCCAACCAAAGCAAGGCAATGGAGACTTGCTTTCCTCATGATGTTAGCATTGACAGCTCACAACTTCCCGGAGGGGATGGCTGTTGGTGTCTCATCGCTGCAAAGCACCCACCTGGGAGTTGTTGTCATGGCAGCAATCGCTGTGCACAACATCCCAGAGGGCATTGCCATTGCTTTGCCTGTGCTGGAAGCGACAAACAGCCTGTCGTTGGCAGTGCTGCTGGCTACGCTGTCCGGCCTGGCTGAACCTCTAGGAGCTTTCATTGCGGTTTCGATTCTTCCTCGAGGGGCATTGGCAGGCTCTGGCATGGATATCCTGCTGTGTGTTGTGGGCGGCATTATGAGCTCCGTGGCCTGCTTCGAGCTGCTGCCAGAAGCACTGGCTCAGGGTCAGAACTGGAGCACAGTAGCTGGATTGATTGTGGGCATGTCAGCCATGCTTTTAACTCACGAGATAGCTTGAGAAGGGCATGCATGAATAATTCGAGATGTTTGGCTGAGGGGCCTTTATTGCAACCGAATGCGTGATGTTTTAAAGCCAATGAGCTGTGCTTGTCTGGCAGGATGGACTCTTGCCTGAAGCCCTACTTGTACGTCTTTTTCCGAAGTCCCTTTGATTACACCGCTCATTGCCAGCATGCATCGCATTGCAGTGCCTAAGCCTTCACCCTCTCTGAACTGTAACAACAAAATGCTCTCATGAGGGACCCAAGCCAAATCCTGCCAAAGTGCTGCGGAGATGTGCGGAGTCACCTGAGAAGTACGTGTGAGAGTTGGGGGACAGACCCCGGGTGCCTGGCTCTAACCCAAGTTGAAGCATGCGATTGGCGAGGATGCAAAGTCGAAAAGGCCGATCCGTATTGAATTGGCCAGCTCGGTGGTACATTTCCTCTCCTATTCAATGTGCCGTCTGTGCTTGGTTTCGGGTTTAGGGGTTCGATTCTAGATTCCAACAATGTTCCTGAAGAACCATGGGTCGCAGAGCCCCTACTCTCTGGCTCCTATTCTCGGCAACCGTCCATGTAAGCCTGAACTTGTACCATCACGAAAGGGAGCTTCCAAGAAAGTCGAAGCTTCTCGGAGGTGTTCTAGACACCTGAGATCTTAAATCCGACAGCCCAAACCCAGGTTATCCTCCCCAGACACGGGGCATCGACTATGGTGCGAAGCTGACGGGCCGCCCCTCCCCTAGCCCGTTTGGTTGTTGGCCTGCGCGGCAAGGAACAGGTTCCCTGAGAGCTCGTGACCAGTGCCGGCTTGCTGCATGTAGGTCCGGAGGTCAAGACCTAAATCCGAAACTCGCACCAAGGCCTCGTGGTGGTGAAGAACCGTTTGCCGCCTTCCCTCGAAGACCTCCAGCCCGAGAAGTTGTTGACAGAGGAGGTGGCAATGGGTTGAGGGACGGCCTCCAGTTCGATGAGCGCAGCCGCACCCGTGTATTAATCTTCCTTGCAATGCGTGGTTTTCATCTTCTGCTAGGTCTAAGAACGATACATGCACGTGTGCATGCACAACAGGCCTAAGAGATGTAGGGCTTTGCGGTAGCCTTGTGGATCAGTGCTATCTCCAACATATTTCTGTCCGCACAAGCTCATAGAGCCCTCAGCGCAACCTTCCGCATCACATCTGCTGTTTCGCAAGCTTTAGTACCTTGATAGGAGATCTTCGTTCGTCGGAATTCGGGACGGCCTTTGTCGCCTCGCTGGAAGGCTGGGAAGTCAGCTTTTATTTAGACTTCTGGAATTCTAGCATTTCGTTGGATTTCCTGGTTGGGACTGCGGATTGCATGCTTAGAAGGGCATACAAAAAGGGATGTGTTCTGTGCATGCTGTGAGGTAGCAAGTGCAGGCAAAAAGTCTCTCAGTGTGGGGCATCTATCGCAGACTGCTGGGATTGCAGGTTTTCGTCGAATTAAGTGTCCCCGATCTGAAGCAACTTAAAAGCACATTTTGATGTTTGCCGACCACCGTGTGAACCAAACAGCACGAGTCTGGTGGCGACTCACCGAGTCTCCATCAACACCGCGAGGTCACAGCGCCTCCATTGATCTTAACGTAGCAGTAGCTGGGCAAGCCGTGGGCTTCAAGGAAGGGGAAACATCCGTTTCATTCTTGTCCCTAGAAAATCAAGGTTTGACAAATGACAAACTCACTCAGCCCCCGAAGTTTGTGTTTGGGGCAAATCCACAGCAGGACGGATCGTAATAGCTTTGCGTCGTCCGGTGCTGCAGACCCGTCACGACCCGCGACCAGGATGCCGGATTGCTGCAGTCCGACCTGGCTGCCTGCTGCTGCCCTTGGAGCTGCACTTGCATGACAGTTTAGGGCTTTAGGCTTCAGGGTTATATGATTATACCTGCGGGTGAGATTGAATCTCGCTTCCAGGCGTACACTAGGCTCCTGGTTTGCGGAGAGAGGTCAGGGATCAAGCGGGAACAGGTTGAGCGCCCGCAGGTACATCGACAGTGCCTGGAATCCCGGAATCATTAGCCTAAGCTGCCCTGTCATGGAAGCCTGTCCTGTCTCCTCCCGACCAGAGCACCTTGGCGTTGAAGAATCTCTTTCCACAGCGGGGTCCTCACTTTCGGACACAGGGAGTTGGGCTTGCTTGAGCAAGGAACTGTCTGTAAACCCGACATTCCCTGCAGTCTCTAAGCCTTAATCCCTGAACCCTCAAAATGGCGGCGGCTGAGTCTTTGAAACAAGAGGCCGAAAATCCGTGGATTGCGATGGTTTCAAGGTTACTCATAGCGGGTCAGTGTTTCTGACTGGTTGGAGGTTTATAGTCGTGCTAGCCGCAGCAAGGTGACTGCTGCCATGCCGGCCCCTCAGAGCGGGGTGCCTTTGGTAAACAGGGCTTCTTTTCGTTCGATCCTTGCCTTTCTGGGTTGCTGCGGGGAAGCGCCTGTGTGCAGGCGACGGGTTCGGGCGAGGTTTGTGACCTTAAATACGGAAGATCGCTAAACTCACTCCAGGCATCCGGAGCCCTGCCTCCCTTAACACCCCAACCCTAAGGCGTGAACTCTAAAACTCTAAGCTTCAAGCCCTCAAGCCCTGAGACCCTGCAACTCGGAAGCCCCAAATCCTACACCTTTGACCCCGAAGCCCTAAACCCTGCATGGCCCGAGTTGCGAAATTCTGGAGACATCCTGGCTCAAGCTGGGTTTCGCTCCCCCGGAAGATCTCCTTCGTCTAACCATGTGTTCCATCAATGTGGCGGGCACTGCAAGCTGCTGGAAGAGGACGAAGCGCTGCAATGCAGCACGGACCAAATGGCTAGGTGGGAAGCGAGAAGGCAGGGAAATGTACAAGAAGGCCCGGGTGAAGCAGTCCAATCTGCAGAATGCCAGGGCTGAGGTACACAAGTTCCTGCAACACCACGGCATTTACAGTGACAGCTTCGATGCAAACGTGGCCAAGGAGTCGTTTTGTGGTTTGTACCGAACCTATCCACTTCATTTGGCAGCAAAAAGGGAGACTGGCAGACGCTGGCAGACGGTTCGTCTGCTCCTGCACTTCGGCGCAAACCCCTTGCAGCTGGACAGCCGCGAAAGCACTCCTTACTACTGCATGGGGCAAATTGCGCGGATGAGAGCTCAGAGCCTAACAAGCTTTTGTGGCATTGAATGTCCGGATGTGCAAAGGTAGGCAATGCCAATCAATAGCAGATAGCAGGAGCCATAAATACTGCGTGTTTATAGCTCCATGTCGGCAGCATGGGACAAATGCTGTGCAAGTGCAGAGGCGCAGGTGCAGCAATCCATAAATGCCCTAGCTGCACTTTGTAGTTGAGGTTTTCTGAAATGATAGGAATTCGAAAGCGGCTTCCACTTGCTTTAGCTGTACACGCGTGGGCAATGACACTGCATGCGCTGCGTGGCTTCTGACAGTTTTTGTTGGCAGTCGGATGGTGCCCCGATAACTTCAAACCCAAGACGTCAAGCGTCTGATCATATTGCTACGAAGCGGTGAAACTGGCCCCTCACTTTCTCAGGTTGGCATAAATCCTTGTCCGACGCCTCGCAAGTAGCAAGCCTTCTAGTAACTCTTGTAGAAGCCATGGTAACTCATCACGAATCTGAGCAACTTGATGCTCGGCCTGAGAGATGCCTACACTAGTCTGGCAAGCTCGTTCGTTTGAGACGTGCATTTTGTAATCTCTAGCGCAGGATCGAAGAATCACCGTCCCGACTCGGCCTGCTTTGTGGCCGTGGAGTCTTTCGAGTCCCCGAGGTGAACATGTGCAACGTGGGACCGAAATTCCCGCACGTCTCGAATGCCAACCAATGCCAGGGCCTTATAATAGCAGCGACAACGAGAGGAGTGAGAGGAGCGTCAATGAGCACAATGTGGGGTTCGGGAGAGTTTGTTTAAGATACCATATTATTGGGCTGTGGGGTGCCATGGGCTTTGACTGCAGGGTCTCCAGAGATTTATCAGTGGTTTGGGGCTTGTAAGACTGAACCCAAGAAACCTGGAACGGCCGTCCTGGAGTCCTTGCCGAATGTGACAAACAACGGACAGACAAGTAGTGTGGCACGGTTGCAATGAAATTCTGTGTTTAGTTGGTCTATCCTTGTTTCTGTTTGGATCCCTGTTCATCATATGAGTCGCTTGTTCAAGTCTTGTTTGGCGCTTTCTCTCGAGGTTTTCTCAGAGGCTTGCCTCTCAGGTTGCTCAAGTGGTAATCTCTGCTGAAGGCCTCACGCCGGCCCTTTTCAGCGCCCTCTGCCGTCTGGGCTACCGACTTTCGGGGGAGGCCGTGCCGGGCTCAGCGCAAGTTCTGAAGCCGGGAGATTTCGCGTATCTGCTGATAACGGAAGCTTAACTTTCGAGAGGCAGGGTTCCGACAGCCTCCACAGCACATCAGGTCGACATGATAGCCAAGGAACCGCTGCTGGAGGACAGAGCCGAGGTGAAGCTTGATTAGTCTGTTTGAGTTGCAGAACTGCAGTCTTCCGGGGTTCGGGATGTGCTTGCAAATGATGGGCCCAAGACCATGATAAGACACCGGACAGCTCTGAACTGTAGAGTTGCATTTCTTGCTTTCATTTGATGGTGTGGAAGCATTCCATCCCCTTGCCTCTAAGCCGTGGATCTTAGACCCAAACCCCTTGACAGATCCCCAGAACCCTATGAGATCCTGTTCTCCTATTAAAACGAGCCAGCGAGGAGCCCTGGGAGGTGCGCACTGGGGGCTTCTGGACCCGGCGGCTTTTGCTTGTTGGGGTATCATGATCTGGGGTTTAGGGAAAGTCTAGGGTTTCAGATTCCGGGTTTTCGCAGGCGTTGCAAAAAAGCAACAGCAGCTTTCAGGTTTATAGCGCTTTCAGTCTCAGGGTTAGGGCATTCGGGGTTCAGGAAACTATGATCGATGATAGTGCGGTCCAGACCCCATCAAGGAAATAAGGCCCTGGCATTTAGGGAGTTCAATCATCGAGGGCTCAGACTTCGTAGTTTAGGAGTTTGGGACCCGAGACCAGGGTTAGGAGTGAACCCAGCACAAACCATTACAGGCCCCTGAAACATGAACCTTCGATCTTTGTCAGAGCCTCGGCCCTCAATACTTCACAGAGCGCAAAGATGGGTGTGCTCTTTCGACGCTTTGGGTTCAGGGTTGGTCCAGGTGTAGTTGAACACGTGGGTGTCCAAGCCTCGATCCCCGGGATTATCACTGATGTTTCGGTCAAACTAAGCACATACGCTCAGGTTCAAGCAGTAGTGTTTGAATCGAGCCGCCTTGCATGTGCTGTGTCATACCACTGCCTATGGATGCACACATGTCTTGTTTATGTCCGCTTCTGCACTTAAACACATTGCGATGGTGTTGCTAAGCTGAGTGTGCCACCTTCATTCCATGGTGTTGAGCTTGGAAGTCTTGAGCTGAGGTAATCATGCGGAGGGGCAATTTGCAACTATTTAGTTTTGGGACCAGCAAACTTCAATAGGCAGTAGAAAAAACCTAAGAAAGCACGATGCATCCTCCAGAACAACCGTGCTTGTGCTGGAGCTTACACTGCCAGTTGCGGCCCTCTCTTACCATTACTTGCATGTGTTCCGAGGCAGCTCATGGCTTCACACCCAGGACAGTCACAGCATGTAATATCCTAAAGTCAGTGGTTTCGGCTGTTCGATTCTCGTCGTCCTATGCTTTTCAGGCTGCCATTCCCCTTCCTCGACGATGCTCGACGACTGAATCAGCCTGATGATTGCCTCCGGAGAAGCATCGTAAGCTTCGCAACACCATTGAAGTTACATTCCATAGTGGACAGAACCATGCTCTGAACCTGAACGCTGACAGAATGAAGACTGCTGCACCCCCAGCAGCAAAAGAGTGGTTGAGCTGCGTTAGCCCCAAAATACTTAGTACTCCGAAGGTGCCCATTAGGTTGTTTTCATCAAAGCCTGATTATGCCTGTAGCCAAGCAAGCAAGCTATCAGGTACTCATGCATGCATGTATGTATCATGTATGTGTATGCACCCATACATGTGCGCACACACGTGCATACATACATGTGTACCTATGTACCTACATACCCACATGCCTGCCTGCCTGCCTGCTTCAGACAGACATGCACACCGCATGCATGCAGGTATGCATGCATACGTGTGAACGCGGGCGCGGGCGCACGCACGCACGCACGTATGCGCACGCACGCACACGCACGCGCACGCGCACGCACACACACACACACAACAAAAACACACACACACACTCACTCTCACACACTCACTCTCACACACACACACACCCACACCCACCCACCCACCCA